AAAAAAAAAAAAGTTGAAAGGGAAGCCAGGCACCAGTAGCTCATAGCTGTAATCCTAGCTACTTAGGAGACTGAGAGCTTAAGGATCAATGTTCAAAGCCAGCCCAGGCAGGAAAGTCCATGAGACTTTTATCTCCAATAAACTATGAAAAAAGCTGGAAGTAAAGCTGTGAGTGACTCAAGTAGTAGAGAGTGACTCAAGTAGTAGAGTGCTAGCCGTAAGCAAAAGAAACTAAAGGACAGCACCCAGACCCTGAATTCAAGCCTCAGGACTGGCAAAAAAAAAAACCTTGAAAGGGAGACATAGTATCTATATTTTGAGTAACCCAAAGATAAAAGGAAAATAGAAGAATCTGAGACAGAGGCTAAATGTATAGCTTGGTGGTAGAAACTGTACTTAGCGTACACAAAGCTGGATTTAATCCCCAGCACCAAAAAATAAATAAAACTCTTACAACTACTTAAGTCATTTTACCCAATTCTTTTATGTATTTTTCCCCAATTCAAACAAGTTATCTTTCTTGTACTAAGAAAAATCAATATAATCTGATAAATGACTAGCTAGACAAACAGAAAAAAACAGATCACCATTGCCTAATGTTAACTCTATTCTGTTTTCTACTTACCTTTCTGGCATAGACTTACCCACTGGCATTACCATTAGCAGTAGTAGCAGAAGAAGCAATTCTTCTTTTTTTGTGTAACTGGGTGCATACTACACATTGGGCACAGGAAGTCTCTGTCAAATTAAGGCCAGATTCCCTCTCTCCTGAAACAATATATTAGAAGCAGAGAAGCAATAAAGGAAAACCACCGCTCCATAATTTACTACCTATAATACTATAATTAAAATATTTCTTCCCTGCTGTCCAGAAGGGCCTCTTGTCATATGAGAGATCTTTAAAACTTTAAAATTTCAGGGAATTATTAAATAGTAACCTCTCTGTACAACACCTTAATAATATCAATAAAATTGTATTTAGAATAAAAAAATGGCCAGGCAGTGGTGCTTCATGCCTATAATCCTAGCTACTCCAGAGGCTCGTGAGATCTGAGGAGTATAGTTCAAAGCCAGCCCAGGTAGGAAAGTCTGTAAGACTCTTATCTCGAATTAATCACAGAAAAAGCCAAGTGGTGTTGTGGCTCAAGTTGTAGAGTGCAAGACTTGAGCAAAAGGAGTTTAAGGACAATGCGCAAGTCCAGAGTTCAAGACCTAGGACCAGAAGAAAAAAAAAATCCAGGCATCAGTGGCTCACACCTGTAATCCTATCTATTCTGGAGTCTAATATCTGAGGATCCCAATTTGAAGCCAGCCTGGGCAGGAAACCCTGAGACTCTTGTGGGGGGGGAGCCAGAAGTAGAGCTGTGGCTCAAGTAGTAGCATGTTAGCCTAGAGCAAAAGAAGCTCAGAGACAGGCTGGGCACTGGTGGCTCACACCTGTAATCCTAGCTACTCAGGAGGCTGAGATCTGAGGATCGAGGTTCAAAGCCAGCCTGGGCAGAAAATTCCATGACACTCTATTTCCAACAAAACATTCAGAAAAAACAGAAGTGGTGCTGTGGCTCAAGTGGTAGACCGCTAGCCTTGAGTTGAAGAGCTGAGGGACAGTGCTCAGGCCCAGAGTTAAAGCCCTATGACTGACAAAAAAAAAAAAAAGAAGAAGAAGCAGCTTAGAGACAGCACCCAGGCCCTAAGTTCAAGCCCCAGGACTGGTATAGAAAACAAAGATGGTCTGGGAAGGTGGCTCAGTGGTAGAGCGCTTGCCTTGCATGCATGAGGCCCTGGGTTCAATTCCTCAGCACCACATAAGCAGAAAAAAAAGCCGGAAGTGGTGCTGTGGCTCAAGTTGTAGAGCTCTAGCTGAAGAGCTGAGGGACAGCGCCCAGGCCCAGAGTTCAGGCCCCACGACTGGACCAAAAAAGAAAACAAAGAAAGAAAGAAAGGAAGAGAGAAGGAGAGAGAGAGACAGAGAGAGAGAGAGAAAGAAAGAAAGAAAATTTTCAGTAAACTGTATCACAGTCTATAAGCCTTTCCAGATTTATCCACTTCATTCTAGAACAGCTAAGTCATGATAATTTTATTTTATATATGTAAAAAAATTATATGTAGTATATATTTGGGGGGAGGGGGAGTCCTGGACCTTAAACTCAGGGCCTGGGAATTAGCCCTGAGCCTCTTTCTACTCAAGGCTAGAACTCTACCAATTCAGCCACAGCACCACTTCCAGCTTTTTTGCGTGATTTATTGGAGATAAAAGTCTTATGGACTTTTCTGCCAGGGCTGGCTTCAAACTGTGATCCTCAGATTCAGCCTCCTGAGGAGCTAGGATTTCAGGCATGAGCCACTGGCACCTGGCTGTAATATATTGTATATAATTATTTCCTCAAACTCTTTCTAGTAATTCAAGTACAGAAAAGAATGGCTGATATGTTAAACCATTCTGCTTAGTCTTATGACTGAGAGAGTTCTTTATTCTAAAACTCCTGAGCAAGGGCTGGGGGCAAGGGCAGGGGGGGACAAGGAAGGGATAGTAGAAAAACAAAGGAGGGGGTAACAAGAAATGTACTCATTACCAGGGGCTGGGAAGGTGGCTCAGTGGTAGAGTGCTTGCCTTGCATGCCTGAGGCTCTGGGTTCGATTCCTCAGCACCACA